TAACTCTGTTGGAAAGTAAAGCAGTGGTGCATGCTCCACGGCCCTGTAGGTAAAGGTTGCTCTTTGCAGCTGTAATACAGTGAGTGAAGGCGAAAGCAATTAACTGTGGCAGGTGGAGAAACTTCTCTGGCTATCTTCTCTCCTCTTGCACAGACACAGTGTCTCACCCTAGGATGCACGTGGTTTGGGCATGAACTGGCCAATGCAGCATTAATTAGACACAGGGTAGACAGTTAAACCTTTGTGTGCGAAACTGGCGGCTGCAGGCCTTAAGTACCTTGACCTCATTTAGTTTAAGACTTTGGCAATTTTTAGTAGGATCTTCATATTTTTGCTTCAGATAATGAGCAATCTCTGAGAAAGTGTTCAAAGGGAACCGTCTTGTTACTTTTCAGCAGTAGAAGAGAGGATGTAGAGGTTTCAACATTGTTGCTGTTTTGACACAAATTAATGAAGTGCCTGATATGTATCCGAGGGAAACAGGGAGAGAAAATAAAAAATACCTCTTCCTCTCTTGGCTATACATTAGTTTACATTCAACAACAGCAGTGTCGCGGTCATTAACCCACAGCAGGGCCGCTGTGTCCCCATGCCCATTAAGCATTAGACAAACTGAGAACGAAATGAAGTGTCTGCTGAAGCTTATGTAAAGCACAAACTGTGACTCTCTGTGGCAGTGGACATTTACAGCTTGTGTAGGGCTGCGCCTGATATGGTAATATCACTAATTGCTGCCTAATTAGATGCGAGTCAGTGAGTCGTGTTTTAATACTCTTCAGGGATCATTACTGAAGGAAAAGAAATTCATCACTTCTGATGAATGACAGTCAGGTCAGCAGGAATTTTAACATGATGACTGAGGAACTGATGGGAAGATGCAGGAGAGCTCCGAACTAATGGTTTTTTCGCGCCGTAGTGGTGTTACTTAAGTAGAGTCATTTTCAGCATGGTGCAAAGCTTCTTTAGAAGTTAATCACACATTAATACGGAGCTCTATGTGGAGATTTACCATTGACTAACAGCATGAGATTGAAACAAATAAGCCTTAAAAGAGTGAAAATTTTAGTTTCATAATGGAGGAAAGAATCTGCAGATGATCATTAGTGCAAATTATTTTATATGTGCTTTTAAAGTCCGGGTGGGCAGTATTACCGCTATGGGGGGTAGATGTCTTACAAGGAGGGAAACAGATGTGGAGAGAAAATATGTAGGGAACACTAAGGGCTGGTTCATGATGGAGTCATGTTGCAAAAGGGATTTTGTATTTGTACACCAAAGCGGTCACTACAATTGGTATACACTCTAAACTATGTGAATGGGATTCCAGTTCACACAGCAATCTGATAAATAAATGGCATCCCTGGTGAAAATGTGTAAAAGTGTCAAAAGGAATTATTCTTTGTATGCATTTGCCTAGTTTTACAGAAAATTTTAAATTAGGTGAAAATTTTTAATTGAGGTCATTTTTTCTTTTTTTTTTTTCTTTTTGGTTTGTTAGTTTTTTAATTTATAACATGTTTGAGGAAATAGACTTCAGGCCAGCAGTATTGCTGGGGAATTTCTGAGAAGGAGAAAGAAAACAAAACTCTCTTATCAGTGTCTTCACAGCAATTTAAGATCAAATCATTTTTTTTAACTCGTTAGCCAAGATTTCCATGTGCATTTGAATACATATTTCTATATTTCATCATGTTTTTATCCTCATGAGTTAGAGTGCAATATGTTGAGGCGTGGTTTAATGCCAGGGAACCTGGAAACGTAAATTCTGTTGAAAACAACTTCATTTATCAAATAATAAATAGTAAATTTCATCTATGCATCTTTGAACAACAGTTTTCGGTATTAAAATGGTTTCATCCAATGGTGTGTATTTCATATCACTTACACATCAAAGTCCTTTCCCTAAAATAGAAACTTTGTACTTTCTCTATTTTTACAACTAACTATATAATCAAATATTCCTGCTTTAATGATTTCATTAAAAGATAGAGTAGCAGGAAGTTAATATTCTTTTATCAGTGGGTTATAACATGTCAATTCTGATATAAATCAACCTGTAAAACAGGGATATCAATCAAAATTGGTAAAAAAAAAAAAAAAAGGATAAGTGAATGAACATTTTAATGATAATTTTTCTCCATAAATCATTTACATATTTAGCATATTTGATGAATAATACACTCATTGGACAGAATTTCAGTAATTGTACAAAATGTGAAGTCGGTAGGAAGAACATTTTTAGTCAATTTTGTTAAAATGAAGTGCAACATACATTAACCTTACTTTATATAATAAACACATGTATGAATTGTATACTTACCTGAATCTACAATACATACATCAAATTTTAGCAAGATGACAGTAGTCGGGGTCATATGCATTACGAGGTGAATAAATGATTCAAGGTGTGCAGTAACCAGGTAATTATTTCAGTGCAACAGTTTCAGAGAAAAAAAATAGTTTGTTGAAAATTCATTTTTTTTATTTTATCAATATCCTGCTTCGTAATCCAGACAAGAATCATATGCAGCTTTGTGCATATGTTTTACATTTGCAGTGGTAGAACAGAGCAGGTTGCCTTTCTGTTCTGTTTGCTCTGACCGCATATAGGGCTTTCAGGATGAGGTAGCTGCCTGTGCCTGTGAGATGGGGCTTAGGGAAGTAGGGAGAGACTCGCTGCAGTTCTATAGATAGAACAATTTGCTGCTTTTGCTGCTTTTATGTGAAGTTGTTAAACTTACCAAAACCAAAGAGAAAAATACTCAAAATTGATATGTGTAGTTCATTTTGACTTCCACACTGTATCCATCAGGAAAAGCTCCTGTGAAAATTGTTTACAAAAGGGAGGGACTTTCAGAACAATCCTTCGAGCTGATTGGGTAAATCACAAAGTGGCACCTGCATCCCATCTTCAGCTTTTAGCCAATTGCAAGAGCAGTGGCAACTGTGACGAATCATATTCTTGATTTCTTTCACTCCTAGCGGAGCTAACTGATAAATCAAACTCTTACCCAATCTGGTTGGAAGTAATGGGAAACATCTTTTCCTTCTATCAAAGCACAATTGCTTGTTTTTTTTTTAAATGAAACAGATGGTGTTCCTGTTAAAGCTGGTGCAGCCATGTTTGTTTTGCTTCAGCCCTTTCTGTATCGAGGTTAATGCATCTGATGGCTTTTGGCAAGATGTATATTCTGGGGTTTGTGATTTAAAAAAACTTGTAACAAAAAATTTTGCTTGCAAAGGAAACCTAACTCTTCACATCAAATAAAAATTCATGAAGTATTTTTATAACACGTACTTTAACAAAATTCTATTTGCAGCTTCATGTTTTTTGTAGTTTTTAAATGTAAGGTGAAGCCGCCCTTTAAAATGGCTAAGATGAGAAAAACATGCCATTGTTTAAAGAAATGGATGTTAATCTGTAAAATACAAGAAATGACTGCAAGAAAAAGTAACTTTTAAAGACTTGCCAATATATATAGTAGAGGTGTAAATCACACCCATCATGGCAATTCGATTCAGTATCAATTTCCTGACCCAGCGATTCGATTATTTTCGATGCTCAAAAATCTGCCATGTCTGTCTTGCCTACTGTTTACATGAGTGTGTGTGTGCATGCGGAAAGAGGGTAGTGGCTAAAGAAAACGAGGTAGGAGGGCAAAATATGTTTAGCGCCACCACAGCACGGGAGTCAGAATTACGTCCAGGAGCAAAAGGATAAAAATAGACAGAAAAGAAAAAAACATGAATCAATACTCATGCAGACGTGTCGATGCATCGGATTGTCGGCTGTTGGATCGATGCATCGATACAAACGATTATTATTTACACTCCTAATATACAGTCAAAGCACAAAATGAAATGCCCAAACAAACAAAACACAGTTACTTCCATCTTGGGGTCACCACTCCTCTAGCCTCGTGAGACCATCCTGATCTCGCGAGCTTTCAAGGTTTCACTCGCAGATCAGTCTGGCCACTTTCCGTTAAAGAAAATTTGGAGCAGTTCACCAAACGAACGTCCAATCAGCGTTGGCTTTGAGGCGGGTTGAGGTGTGACGCAACGAGAAGCGCGACAGTTCAGTCTAAAGAAAATGGCGGCTTCAGCCGATGAAACTAGCGTTAGCGTGGCTATCGAGCAAGTTTTATCGGAATTACAGAGTATTTCTTCACTGAAAGAAGAGCAAAACACTTCTCTGGAGGCTTTTCTCAGAGGAAAAGATGTTTTTGCTCTTCTCCCGACTGGTTTCGGCAAGAGTTAGCCTGGCTTGTGGTTGTGTTTTCGTTGTCGCTCTGTTAGTACGTCATATGCTTCGTTGATCTGATTGTTTATTTGGCCCGTCTATCACCAACATAGGCCAATCAGCTAACCAGTATTTTTGCCACTTCCCAAAATTACTTCAACGGAAGGTTTCCAGATGGATATGCGGAGCAAATCCATCTGGCGGAGTCAGGTTACCACTCCTCCATGACAACCACTTATTTTACCACACATCTTTGCACAGTTGCAATGACATTATGGAGGGTGCTGTATATTATAAGTATAAACTAAAGTATATTTTTATCTATAAAAAAAAAAGCAAGTTGCCCAAAATGAAATAATATCATTGCCAAATGAATCTTAGTGATTTTACAAAGTTTGTGCAGATTTGAAACAATGTAAAAAATATATATATGTGTGTGTGTGTTTTATTTTTGTTTTTCATTATTTTAAAACAAGATTTATTTAGAAAAGGTGTGTTTTATTTCACTTTTTTTAAATTGAAAGCAGTGCCAGGCATATGTCTTCTCTGTTCGCTCTCAAAGTCATTTTGGTTGTTTGTATTGTTCCTACCAGCTGGGGTGAGTGGCAGAGACAAAGGCAGATGTGTCCCTGTTTGTTTTTGAAGTGTTAGAGTTAAGTCTTCCATGTGTGCGTGTCTGTTCTGCTTCTGTGTGATGATGCCTGTGTTTGGGTGTTTCATTCCCCCCCCATGTGTTGTCTCTGTTTGTGGTCCACAGGTCCTCCGCTGCATTGTTCATCCGCCTCCTCCTCCCCTGTTGAGCAGCTCCCATACCCTCCCCCTTCCATTCCAGCCAATGAGAACCAGGGGAGGTTGCTAGGTAACAGTGCGGCTCAGCCAGCCCAGGACTCTGACTCTGAGGATGAGTTTGGCCCCAATTCATTCTTAGTTAAAACTGGCTCAGGGAACCTGTATGCCCCTTCTGCTGCAACTGCTGATGGTGAGTTGGGTGTCACACTACTGTTGCTTTCAGGAGGTGAGCCTCCCCCCTGCTCCTGGATGTGTTGTGTTACAGGTCATGCAGATGCCTACGAGCAAGATAATGTCCTTTTTTTCTTTAAGCATCTTGAGATAAATTTGAAGCTTGGAGTCGATATGTAGCCCCAGGAAATGAGCAGAACTCTCTGAAGTCAGGTCAGCAAAGTTCACAGCAAAGAGATGGGCGATTTTGGCTCAGCAGAAGATTTGTCACTGATATATCTTTTCAGTTTCACTTTCTGTTGGTGGTAGTAAATGTCTAGCATTCTTTAGAAACAGCAGCCTGCATGCAACCTTTTACAAAAACAAACAAGAGACCAAGGAAAGTTATTACACGTCGGGTTGCAAGGTAGATCTTTAGTGTCACAATTCATAAGTGTCCTTTCATCTGAGCTGTATGAAGTTTTGCGGACTCACTGTGTGGCTTCTCATTAAAAAGCATCAGCTGTTTATTTATGTTGAAATGCAGTCTCCTGCTGGCACCCTGACACTTATTCAGTGTGACAGAATGACATTTCAGCTCAAAGTGCTAACATAGTGTTGACAGTCGACAAAAAAATCTGAGAGTGTAAAGCTGTATGTTTACTAAGTAGGAAGCAGAATGTGTCAGAAATGATATCAGAAGTGAAGTTACTAATTTCACTCTGCAGGATGTTCTTTGGGTTCAGTTCTGCTATCAGACATCAAAGCTTAACATATTAAAGGTAGTAAAATTGTTTCATTCATATTTATGTTGTTTCTTGAAATGTTATGTTCGGATTTAAATTATCAACATGTTGAGCGATTTAAAATGTTGTAGTGGTCAAAAAAGAGCTTCATGCTTGATCATTTTAAAACAAAGGAAATGTGATTTGAGTTTAGGTTTAAAGTCTTAACAGCAAGTTCCAATGCAAATAGATTCCACTTTGTGATCTCTCTTAGAACTATACTGCATTAAAAGGAAAAACAGCAATGCAGATTGTTTGATAAAGGTTGTGAAATACAAAACAAAAAATTAATAATCAGGGATATTTTTATCGTATTAATGTTGATATGCATAATTTGTCATTTTTCAAAAATGTTTTTCTTAAATGTAAAGCTAGGTTGGTATTGACAAATAATATTTTTAATGCTTTAGATGAATAGGACGAAAAAAACCCTGATGTTTATTTTTACAATCCCAAAAAAAAAATCCCTGATCTATGGAAAATGAATCAACATCAATCTCTGTCCTATTGATCAGTCCATCTCTATGACTTGGTATTACTTATAATTAATTAAAGTGTTGTTGTTTTTTTTTATTCTGGAAACAGATGCACAATCTTAAAACACAGCAGTCAGGCGTAATCTGCATGCACAATCTCATAAAATTATTGGTGTTTAGAGAAACAAATTTTCCACATGTCGGCTTTTGCATGCAAAACCAATTTGTTAAGGCTTTTAGCATAGATGCCTTATTACTAAAACAGCTACCTCAGTCTTCCACTGTTGGAGTAATACTAAAACAGCATAAATAATTAACTAATTGATCAAGCTCACTAGTTAACTAGCCAAAGGGTCTAATTATATGAATTTCCAATGCATCCTGACTGGCTTCTTAGAACTCCTGCAGAATGAGTTATTAATCCCCCTGCAAATCTTCCTGCTAATTCCTCTGCAGTGGTCACCCAGCCAGCAGTGGCACGACTGGCTCAAGGCAAAATAGGTGGAGGGGGTCTGGCCTTAACGGTGTCAGATTTTCCTCACAACAATGAAAGTGATTTGCATGAGTAGATTGTTTAGTTTAGCCTCAGGCTGTCAGGAAGAGGGCTATGGAGGAATTTCACCACCTTAAGTTACTACCTCTGGTTGTCATTAGGGCTAGGTAGAACGTTTCATTAAGTGGCTTAGTGCACACTGCACAAACTATTGTAAAATAAGTAAAAGAATTCTTAATATCAGTGTATGTACCCTTTAATTGAGGTGGCAAATAAAATTTTCCGCTAATAGAATATGAATGTCTTAAATAAAAGATTTAGATATTATGGTCTTGTCTTATTCCATTGGCAAAGTGCATCACTTACCTTCTCAATTCAAGAAAAAATACACTTAATTTAGATAAAATTGATACTTTTTGCGGTGAAGTAGAGAACTGTGTGGCTAAGCACTTACTATAAAGTTTTCTTAAAAGTAAGAACGCTCCTGACCAAAAACAAAGATAGAGTAGGATCTCTATGTTTATCCTTGTTGTGTCAATCTAGACTAAAGTGTTTTAGATTCTTAGATGAACCACAAGCAGGGCTTACTTATCTTGTTTGTCACAGGCCAAATGGAATCTTGTTTCGAGTTTTGACTTTCATTCTTGGTAGTAAAACTCCCATTTAAATTTTGAAAAGAGCAGCAAAGCAATTCCAAATTTACATTAATAAAGAAATCTACACAGATAAGCCTTCTCTGTATCTTTATTCTCCCTGTAGTTTCAGCTCCTTATCCAAATATTTAGTAAGCTGGGTAACTTTGTTTATTCCATTCTGGTATCTCTCATTTTTGATTAATAGGGGAAAAAAATGACTCTTTCACTCCAGTGAACAGCACTGCGTTCATTCGTTTTGTGGCAAATAATATATGTAGCTAAATAACTCTATCAATCAGGGCTTGTTTTTGCAGAATGAAATCACTTGATTGGAAACTATTCAGTGTGACATTGTTACATAGAACTAAATAAATCTAATATTCACAAGGTGACAAAAAAAAAAGTAGTGAGAGTTGGAAAAAATGGGGGTGAGGCGTTGGATGTGTTTGTTAGAATGGTAATAAAAAGATTGCACATTCTCAGATTTTCTTAACAAAACAGATGCAATACTTTGTTTTTGTTTTTTCTTGTTTTTTAATTTTAGAAAATGTTCCTAAAAGTAAAGGAGAATTAAGTATTCAAGGCAGGATTTGAGCAGGATTTACATGTGCAAAAAACATCTATTTAAAAGCCACCGTGACAAAAAAGGACTAGAATTCCAAATCAGATCTCTTTGATATGCAAGCCAGGCTTTGAAGAAATGTTAAGTTTGTAGCTCCTACTGTGTAGGAAAGAAAAAAAGTTTTTTTTATTTTTTTTATTGAGAGTATACAAGGAGAAAGAATACGTATGCCTCTAGTAATCATTTCATAGTGGAAACCTTCCACAAAAAAAAAACAAAAAAAAAACAGGTGGTTTTTATCTTTTCCGATTACAATTGCCCAAGGTTGTCTTCGAGTCCAAATGCAAGACTTAAAATGTTCTGGTGGATTTTGAACAAGTGAAAGCTCTCGGTGGCATATCATTATTCACATTAGAAGCCTCCGAGGCTGCTGTGTGTTTTTTATTTATTTTCAGAGTGGGGTGAGGGCGAGTCCTGTTTTTTATTTCTGGGAAGACTAAGCAGTGGTTCCTCTAAGGTTGATGAGGCTGCTCGCTGAAGCCTGCAGTCCTATTGTCAAGCATGTGTCTCTGCGTGGCCTTCGGCTTTCTCTGAGGGTCTTCTTCCTGGGGAGAATGCCAGTTAGAGCCCGCTGTCATGCTGAGCAGCAAGATCTCAGACACTGCAGCCTCCCCGTATTAGCATCTCTTAATGCGAAGCAGCATGGGGTCGGCCAGTATCAGCTTTCAGTGCGATCGGACGGCCCTGTGAAAGGGGCCAGCCCTCCGAGCGGCTTGCAGCTGACCAAGCAGGAATGCTGCGCTGAGCAGAAGGCTCGGGGACGCAGCCGTGTGTGAATTCAAATATGTCTTCATTTGAACTGCTTAATCATTCCCCCCCTGAGTCTGCAAAGATGGAACAGAAATGTGGTTAAAAGAGGTCACACCAGAAAGTAATTTAACCACCGACACCGAGAGGAATAGAACTATCTGAGGCTAAATAATATTTTCATGAGCAACACATGGCACCCTGATTTTTCTGAACTCACAGTTTGGACATGAGGAATATTTTCTTACTATCTATAGAGGCTTGCACAATATTAATAAACCTTATTCCATTTCACATTCCCCATTTCATAATAACCACGAACCTTAGAGTGATTTATTGATATCTTAACATAAGATGGAGTGTCTTTGTTAATCTGATTAGCATGTGGTCCACATGCAGCCCCCTCTGAGCCAGTCTTTTATGGTAAAGTTTCCTATCTATTTCTATTTTATAAAATAGCTTAAACTATGATTGGATGAAGAGTATCTGTCGAGTATAGCTACAAATTCACATTTTAACTTGTCTGGGTCGCTCAAACTTATTAAAATCCTTTGATGTAAGCCATTCTGCCAAAATTGTGGCTGTATGCGTGAGGTCACTGTGCTCCAAAATTTCTAAAGCCTTTTGCAGTCGCTCTTCTTCTCATTATTATGCTGTATTTAGCTCTACCCATCTTCTCATCTGTTCTAACCAGCTTCACTGTCTCTGCAGTATTACGCAGCTACTTGCTTCATCTTTCTCAAGTGGCTGTGGTTGTATGTGTATGTGTGGCCATGTTTTTGTTACCTTGTTGGAACAATTTCCCAGTAAAATAGGTACTTCTGGGGACCAATGACTGGTGTGTGTTTGTGTGCGTGCGTATGTATGTGTGTGTGTGTGCGCACTTGTATAGAACCCAGAGTGAGGACCATTTTTCCAATTTCACCCCCTCAATGAGGACCATTTGTTGTAAAGCGGTGAAGTTTTGCTGGTACTCACAAGGTATTTTTTGCTAATGGTTAGGTTTAGGGCTAAAATCTCAATTGGGTTAGGGTTAGTGTGAGGTATGCATTTGTAATGGTTAGGTTTAGGGTTAGTTTTATGGTTAGGGCATAGAATGCAAGTCAATGCATGGTCCCCACTACATATAGCAGAACAAATGTGTGTGTATGGGTGAAAGGGTAAGTTGCAGGATTGTTGTTTGTTCAGCACTTAGCATTTTGAATATTGGTCAAAGATTTGGTCCTTTTCCACTTGTCTATATGGGGTAAATTGTGAAGCTGATAATTGTTTTATAAAATAG